GTCACTCTTCTGAGAAAAAGATCTCAAAAGTTCTGTACAGTCAGGGGGTAATGATATTTTTAGGCTAGACAAAAGAGTATTTGAATCTTTTCTGTTAATTCACCCCAAATAATGTAAAGTTACTTATTGCAAATATTAATTCACCCCCAAGAAATTATAAATCAAAGTTTGTTTTTTTTATTAAATTTTTGGCACTCTTTTGAAATTACAAATTGACTTATAACTACTCCAACCCTCAGAATGAAAAACTACCAAAAACCAGGAAGATATTCACATTTTGTAAGTGCGGATGATATTTGAGGAACATACAAGGAATTTTTTAGAAATTAAAAAAAAAAGAAAAGAAAAGAAAAAAACTTCTTGGTTTGTTTATTGGGGTGAGTGCAAATGTAGACCCCACACTTAGAAATAGCAGACCCAAGTTGCCCACATTTGGGGTGATCGCAAAGGTCAATCCAACTTGGTGTGAATTTTAGTAAATATAAATTCTTAATATTTTGGGGTGAATTAACAGAAAAGATCCAGGTATTTTATTTCATTTGGACATTTGAAGTTTTAAAACAAATTTAAAATTGTTTTGAATTTCAGCATCACTTAGATTATGACCTTTATGATGATATTCCATTGTTGCATATTTATTGAGACTTTCCATTAAAAAAGAAAAAAAATGAATGCCTTCTCATTAAATTATTTGAAATTGTAAAACATTTGATCCAGAAAGAAAACTCTTTTGATGGCAGTACAGATTTTTAAGAAAGGAAATCTAGAATGAAATTAAAAAGTTAAAAGTATTAGTTACAGGTTTTTGCAAAAAAATACACTACACATCACCTTGTCAGCAGTATTTATAAATTCCAAAAATCATGAAAATAAAGTTTCTCTTCATATATTCAAAATTTACTAAATTCCCTTGACACTGCTATTACTGTATATACTGTGGATTTACCCCCACTTACTTTCCTAAAAAAATGCCGCTAGGGGATGATCCCTAAACCTTTAAGTAGGCAGTGACATTCTCTCTTCACTCTCTTTCTGTTATTTTTTGTCTAGCTTTCGGACGTAGTCACATGTAGATAAGAATACTGCCGCTGAGGTGCGTTCGCTTCCCTTGGTCCTCTGTTGACTTTTGAACTCCGTTTCACGCATGAATGTATTCACACGTGTCTCACACATGCTTGCTACATTTCTACACAAGCATCTGCATTATTTTAAATGTTTTCATGTTTTCTTCATTTATGTTCATTGTTTTGTAACATGCAACAATATTCTATTGTCTACTCTTGTTTTGTTTTTTCTTGTTTATATATGTTTTGTTGTTATTTTGTTCATTCATTATCCGGACTAATATTCCAAGTCCGCCATTTTTGTTGTGGGATAAATATACTGGGAGACATGCATTTTCCAACTTAAACACAACCAGCATATGCCGGCAACAATATTTTTGACTCTCTTGGCAATATCTATCTAAAAGATATGTGAACCAAGTTCAATGCAATATTTATCATTTACTTTTTATAAAGATTTATTTTTACCATAACTATAAAAACAATTTTTTTTATTCATCACTTTAATAAAAAGCAATGATTAGAATTTTAATAAAACCAAAACCGTTTTGGTTTTATTAAAATTCTAATCATTGCTTTTTAAAATTGCCAAGGGAATCAAAAATGTAAAAATTTTGAGTTTTGACACACTTTTTTTTTGTTTTGTTTTTGTGGGCATGAATGTAAACATAGCCAAAGCAAAATACTTATGTGCATGTATGCAGAATACTGCATTAATTGCAACCATGTGCAAGTCAAAAATCTCACCTTCAATTGTTAGTTCCATAAAAAGAGTCTTTCAGTTTAATTTTTAAATATTTTTTGGCAGTTTACAGATTTTCTATAACATTTTTTCTTACATTCTTTTTTTACTATTAAAATTTCTAATAAAAGAATAAAAATTAATAGAAATAATAAATCATGACGTTCTCTTTTTTTTTTTTTTTTTTTTTACTAAAAATGAAGTCAATGAACTAATTTAAAATGTGTGGAAGTTTATTCTAAATAGAAAATGAAAAGAAAAAAGGATTACCGTACTGCAAATCTTCCAATCCAAATCTTATATACCGAAAATTAAACCAGGAGACATTTTTAGGTGGAGCATATTATTAACAGATGCAGATATTCAGCAAAAAAAAATAAATAAAAATCTTGTCACAAACCACAATTATTTCAAATCCTACTTCAAAAATCAAAATCTACTTTATATCCATTATTTGCTGATGTCTACTTCATTTCTTTTCTTAATAATAGTAATTTGTATAATTTTCATCTATCATTCAATATGCTTCTTGACATGGTTCCAGATTATGTTCTGCTAACTAACAACAAATTCTCCCAGAAATATCAAAAAAACTGTAACCTTAAATAAACTGACAACAGGAAAAAATGTATCCACCTATCAAACATATGGTTCTAAAAGTACATTTTAAAGCTAAAAGCATATGCTTTGAATTATTGTTAAGGGGGTAACGAGAAGTCTTCGGCCCAATACACATCCCTCAAAAAATAAAAAACGAAATAAAAACTAATTACTAATAAAATTACAAAACATTAAAAATTCTTTTGGAATCTGCTTGGTTGAGCTGAGAAAGTTCCAGCAGCCCTTGTAGACATTAAAGTACAAAAAAAAAAAACATTCTAAAAACATTAATAACAAAATAAAATTATTTTTATTGCTCTTATTTTCGTCATTTTTAAAATTTTATAAAGTCAAAGTAAGTAAACAAATTTTGCTTTATGTAATTCACAATATGTTGTACAAGTCCCCCCAAAATTGAAAAATATTGTAGAGTGAAAAAATAAAATTGTAAAAAAAAGTATTTATAAAAATATGAATAATTTTATCAGTTTTATTTCGTAATGCTTTATTCATTATTGGCATATTTACAAACAATATTGAAGGTTTTCGTAAAGAAATGTTTTTTTTCTTTTTTTTAAATCATCCCTCCACCTTATGTTCTTCCCTCTCGCAGTTGAATCTAGATTCTAGTGTATTTTTGAGCCAACTGAGGATTAAAATTTAAATGAACTCTAACATATGGAATACCAAATACTGGGGGGAAAAAAAGTAAAATGATGGAAATAAAAAAATCATAAAAATTCCTTTTTTTATTTTTTTTTTTATTATTGTTACTTTTTGTCAGCTTTTAATTTGATTGATCAAATACTGACAATTGGGAATTCTTGCTTAATTTCAATCACCAACAGGTTTTCTAATTTTTTTTTTTTTTTTTTTTTTCATATTCCTTTTCATTTAAAGAAAGAACTATAGTTACTCTACTATAGAAGTAAATAAATGCAAGTGGTGATTCATCATTTAATAACAACAGTCTAGGAAAGCAACTGTTTTTCTCCAGCTATCAAGGAGCAGTAAGTTATGATGAAGTAAATAGTGATGATGATTACGAAAGAAAGATAAAAATAAAGCAGTACTCTCGAAATAGATATGTCATAATTCTAAATTAAGCTCAGTCTTTCGTTTACTGTTTAAAAAAAAAAAAAAAAAAAGAACTATTGAAAAAGGGGAAAATTGCATACATGATGAAAGGAGGGGAAGGTTTTTTTTTATCGAATTGTATATTTTTATTAATTACGTCAACTAAGAGAATCAATTATTTTCTGTGTCATACAATTTATCATTCACCGAGATTTCTAAATTTTTAATGCAAGATTTTAAATAATAAAATAAATGCTCAAAGCGTGGGTTTCACTACACTCGTGCAAATGTAGGAACAATTTGCAGTTTGCACGCTGTTTTAACAAATAAGTAAATCAGCATAGTTTTCTTTGCTGAACTTAGTAGTACCTGACTTCGGCTGGGTAGTTTCAAAATAATATTATTAAGCAGTAAGCAGAAGCTCAAGTCCCGGGGAAGGCATTTTGCCCAGGCATTACCTCTCCTTCGGGAGAAGATTGGGGTCATTACTTGGCACCAGAGGCGTCCCCAAAAGGAAGTGCTGAGGGGTTTTGTTTGAGCAATTTTCCCACGGTATGAAAACCCACTTTAAACCTCGATCTTGTGCCACATTTGGTAGCGACGTGGGCGCACTAGAAAATTCACTTAGTAGTAATTTTGCAACATGTCAAAAAAAAAATGGTTAAGAAATAAAACTACGTCTCAAATTCAAATTGGATTTTTACGATAAACTGTTACACGAAATGCTTTTTTTTTTTCTTCGAATAATCATTGTTATTAATAACAGAACACTAAAAGAAATCAATTGTAAAAAAGGAAAAACAAATTAAAATCAATAAATCCAATTAATTAACAATTCAAAACACGTGAAGCCTTTTTTAATCTCTATTTTTTTGATTGAGTAATAATACGGAACCTACGACTTTCACTTTAGTTTAAAAATGTCATTATTGTGATAACGAACTGTTATTTTTTTTTCAATAGTAAATACAAAATTTAAATAGAAGCAACAAGTCTTTGCTACCTGAGTACTGAAAAAACATTGTTAAATGTTAATTTATAAATAATAACAATGTTTTTACTTTTTTGATTGTTTTTACGAAGGTAGGCAACAAAACATTATGTGCGATTGATTTTTTATTTATTTATTTATTTATTTTTAACACATAATACAAGTTATTTAATTTTTTTCTTTTTATTAAAATCCGGAAACACCGCAAAATTTTAAAAGACTGGAAAACAAATTTGAAATTATTTCGTTGATTGCATTTAAAAAATTTTTTTTCAATATTATTTTCCCCACGTTTTATTTTCGGAGATAGAAAATACGAATTTTTAACATTACTACAATTTATTTTAAATAAATGCAATAAATTTACCTTACCAAATCATCGAACAAACTTAATCAACATCAAAATTTAAGATTAATAAAAAATACATTTTTGACACTTCACACTTTCGATCCATAAAGATTCGATTTTTTTTTTAACATAACAATATGGCTCGATAGACTTTAAAAAAATGTTTTTGTTTCTTACCTAAGGCATCAAGACAAGCTTTCTTGATTGTATAAAACTTGGGAATAGAAGCCTCATTGGCGAGGTCTTTCAACACACGTTCCATCTTCGACAACGTTTTAAAGTTAAACTCTGTACTTTTTTAATTGACAATAACAAAACGACAGAAAGTACGCCATATGTTGTTTGTCCTTATTGAATGAAATTATACAACCACTATCACCATCGATAAAGACTGGCTTGGATTGGTGTAACGATTATAAGAAATTAAGTATTTTAGAGATAATATCCGTTAATATGTATCCTATGTAGATACCAACCGAAGCTCGATTTTGAACGCCCTGGAGCTAAAAATGCCCAAGTTCGTCCAGTTGGAGCCGGTTGGCCATTACAAATCTCTAGGAAACAAAGCTGTCTGCTCTTCTTACTTCTAATCAAACCTTTGAAAACGATTGCTGCGGACCTGTTTTGTAATTGTATGCCGCCTACATTAAAAATAATATCAAACCATTCGAATTAGTAGCATTTAATATGCATTTTAAAACAAGTATATTCGTAAATTAATAAAAATGTTGGTAATACTGACTATTTTTGCTAAATTTCTTTAATTACTTTTTCTACCAATCGTTTCATACTTAGAGAAACATGCCTTCACACAGCTGCAGTATTGTACACTACAGAATATCATTTATTTAGGGAAGATACATTATGATATAGTGTAGTGAAGAAGTTATATAACTTGTTCATTGTGAGCAGCATGTTCGCTTGTATCGAGTTTAAATTTGGGGGAAATAAATAAGAGGCTGGGGCTTGAGTGACATTGCAATTAATTATTCATTAATTATTAGTGCAACATTACAAAAATTATTCAGTTAGTTTGGAGTTGGACTTTGGAATAACAATTTTGCTCGGAATCGAGGACACGTGACAAAAGTAAATTAGCACACACAGTCATCTCCCTTGCTAACTTTATTTTTGATACTTTTAGGTTTTTTACATAAACAAAAATATTTTTAAAAATGTATTTTCTTTGTTCATTTTTTATCCCACGCATTAAGTACCAGGAATTTAACGCGTTATTGCAAATAATGAAATTTTTTTTAATCACCATACTACTGTCATTATGGTTAACTTTATTTTTCAATTCATATCGTCCGTTCTGGTAAAAATTTATTATTTCATAGTATGATTGGAAAAATTAGTTTTAAATTATATTCATTATTTTTATTTTTGTTAAGAAGTCGATATCCGTATGTTTTCTTATTATTATTGGTAAGTTATTGTACCAATAACAAAAAAAAATAAAATAAAATAAACTAACAGATAAATATCGTCTATAAACCTGACCGAATCGAATTCATTGCACTGACAGTGGGAAAGAAATGTTAATAAATAAAGTGTTTTTATGTGATTTATACAGATCCTTACCAGAGAGTTAAATAAGGAATCAGAAATGGTACAAACCATTACATTCAAAAGAATAAATAAATAAAAAAGGTTTATTGATTGAAGCATTTTTTTAATTTAATAATGGAATGGTAGAAAAATAAAATAGAAGGTCGGAGCGTACAACAGCTGAAACGTTGTAATAAATATGGCAACAAAGATGAGAACAATAGTCCGAATAATGTAAATATTGTACATAATACCTCATCTCAGAAATGAAGGAGTGTTGGAATTTAATTTGAGAACAATATTTTACAAGTTCGCATTCTTGCTATTTTTTTCTGTCCTCACTCCAACCTTTCTTTTTACTTTCAAAACTGGATCCCAAAGCTTTGATTCTTATCAGAGATAAGAATATATTTTCTGACTAACGAGAGAGCTGGAAAATATAAAGAGGAATTCCACCACCATTATTCTTTTCATGGTGACATAAAGTCTGGGGGAAACCTCACAGCTTGTTCACTTCAACCTGTTTTCATTACTTGCAAAACCGGCTCCCAAAGCCTTGATTCTTATCTGAGATAAGAAGGTGTTTTCTGACCAATGGAGGGGCCAGGAAATCTGTATAACGATTTTGGAGCCTCCCACATCTCCATAAATTTGGAGAATCTACGCCTATTTGGCAGTGAGAATTCGGCCCATGTCTGTAAGGTCCGCGATAGGGAGCTCCAGTCAACTTCAGAACCACTTTCAACCAAAAAAGAACTATCTACTAAAAGGCTATCGAGAACAAACGCCAGCCCACAATTTAAGACCAGTTGAAAGCTGTGTCCCTTCTCTCCTTCTGTCGTGTTCAATCCTGCTGGGCTGGAAAGACAGACCATCAGCCCACTACTAAAAACCATTTGAAAGCTGCATCCCTTCACCTCTCCTTTTGTCGTGCCCACTGAACTTCTGTCATCGATCTACAAACTAACTCAACTGCAAGATTCCTATATCTACCAACAATTTTTTAATCTGCAAGAACTTTGAAGAAATCTGTGAGTGTTTCTAACCATTAACAAAATTCTACTCACTTAAAGAACTTTTAGACACTCAGAGAAATATTTTGAGCAAGTTTTTTTTTCTGTTATGAACATTTTCTCTTCCCTTAAAGGACTTTTTCTTCTCCCTTTCTTTTTCTCCTAATTGTCTTTATCCCATTGCCCTTTTTTTCTGTATATGTAAATAAACCCTTTTCTTTTATTGTTACACACCGAACAGGACTTTTTTCTTTATTTGGCCGCATCTAAAAGAGAGAGTTTGTCCACTCTAATCTTGCTGTTTTTACTCACATTTTTAACCTCAACCCTTTGATGTGGGAAAGCCAGGACAAATTTCCCTGCAGAGGCCAGGAAATTTGTATAGCAATTTTGGAGGGAAAAGTCCCCGATATTTCTGAGCCTCCTAATCTCCATAAATATGAAGAATCTTCACCTCTTTGGCAGTGATTAATCGACAACTGTTTGTGATAACAACAGGTCGGAGACAGAAAAGCAGTTTGCAGTCAGCTTTAAGAAAGAATTACCTACTCTGGGCCGTCAAGAAAGGAGCCACTACTAAAAACCAATTGAGATCTGCCTCCTTGCTCCTAGAAGATATCTGTTGGCAGTCTACAAACTTACTCAACTACAAAATTTTTATCTTCCGACAGTTTCCTCTTCTACAAGAACTCTGAAGAAATCTGTGAGTGCTTAAACCCTTCAACAATCTACTTGCTTAAAGAATTTCTTAGGTGCTCAGAGAAATATTTTGTGCAAGCCTTTTTTTATGAACATTTTTTTCTTCCTTTAAAGTCAACGGAATTTTCTTTTCCCTTCCTTTCTCTCGTAATTGTATACCCTTTTACTCCCTTTTTTGTGCAAGTCAATAAACTTTTTCTTCTTTTTATTGTTACACACCAACCAGGAGCTTGAGTCTTTATTCTTCTACCTAAAAAGAGAGAATTGTTCGCTCTAATCTTTCAAGTCATTTTTGTTTTTTTTTTCAATTTTGTCACATTTTAACCTCAATTCTTACATGTGGGAAAGCCAGGACAAATTTCTGAAAAATAAAGTAAAATATTGTATTACACCAGTGTCATTTTTAAATTCTCATTCTTACTGAGGAATTGTATTTCCTGTGATGTATGAGCATAAAATTTGTATGTAGAACATACAACCACTACTCTTACCCATAGGTTAACCTACCATCTTGAAGATCACAGTGCAATCTGTACTCATATAAATAAACATGTATCACTTGGTAAAAAGATCTCCAATGGAAGGCAAATAATTGTAGACAGCACATGTATACTATACAATATTAACTGTAAAAAAAGATGCCAACTATTAGAAGCACTAACTTTAAAATAAAAATATCCAAAACTAAACAAAAAGTTTTCAGTAATTGACAATTTATTTAGCTAATAAAGAATCCTGTTTGCCAATTACATGCCTGTAATATCATCATAAAGTATAAAAGCCATGCCAAGTTTGAAAAGTATTTGAATATAGGAAAGACAGTAATACATTTGTCATATCCTGTCAGCACTCCCACATTTTTTCAAAACAACTGGAAGAAAAAGCTTAACCAGCATTGTTACAAGACTGATTCAAGATATAAAGATCTCCAGCTCACCATTGTTCTCCGCTCCAGCCATTTCCAGTAGGCCTCCAGTTCCCAATGCTCCAGCCATTTCCAGTAGGCCTCCAGCTTCCAATACTCCAGCCATTTCCAGTAGGCCTCCAGCTCCCAACACTCCAGCCATTTCCAGTAGGCCTCTAGCTTCCAATTCTCCAGTCATCTCTGGCTCCAATCATCCTTGCCAGCATCAATGATATGCATTAAACTGTCATTTTCAGGACAATGCTCTCCAGCGACTACCAAAACTGAACTTCTCAGGACAATGCTCTTCTTACTCTTTACATGAGCTTGCAGAGTTATTTTTTGCCTAGTGCGCTGTAACATTATTTTTGTTTATGTATTTTCTTTAACAAAAATAAACTTGACAATATATTTTTTTTACTAAACTCTTCACTTTGTTGTTGTGTTCCATCATTCAATATATATTTATAGGCCAATAAACCATCTGCAACACTTCTACATAACTCTGGATTTTGTAAACAGCAAGAAGTATGGTTGAAAGTATTTGATCATCAAATTACATATGCATACATCTATATGCATCAAATTACAAATGCACACTTTTATATAAACAAGAAAAGTTAACTAAAAAAATAATGATATAATGGAATAACCTGTCACTCCCCATGAGTGACTACACTATAGGTAGTAACTACCTATAAGTAACTGTGGGCAGAGAGGAACCCGGATGAGACTCCTCCGAAGGGCAGAGTCTCGTTCGGGGAGGTAGACTGCCCCATAACCTGTTTATGCGGGTTCAAAAGGGAATATTTTGGGCTGAGCCTATGTGCTTGGAGAACCCACGTTAAACCGGCCTTGTGCCACATGCAACCCACGTGAGGGAGTAGCTAAGTATGCTAGCTGCGATCTATTCCAGCTAAACAGTCGAACTCTCTGCCTTTGAGCAGAGAGGAACACGGATGAGGCTACTCTGAGGGGCAGAGTCTTGTTTGGGGAGGTAAACTGCCCCTGAAACCGTTTATACGTCTTTGAAAGGGAATATTTTTTGGCTGAGCCTATGGGCTGGGAGAACCCACGTTAAAACGGACTTGTGCC